TATCTATCTATCTATCTATCTATCTATCTATCTATCTATCTATCTATCTATCTACCTCTATCTACCTCTATCTATCTATCTATCTATCTATCTATCTATCTATCTATCTATCTATCTATCTATCTATCTATCTATCTATCTATCTATCTATCTATCCATCATGCTAACAACATGCTAATTCATGCTAGAATCATGCTAGTTACATGCTAATTCATGCTAGAATCATGCTAGTCACATGCTAAATCATGCTAGACTCATGCTAGTCACATGCTAATTCATGCTAGAATCATGCTAACAACATGCTAATTCATACTAGAATCATGCTAGTCACATAACAATTCATGCTAGAATCATGCTAGTCACATGACAATTCATGCTAGAATCATGCTAACAACATGCTAATTCATGTTAGAATCATGCTAACAACATGCTAATTCATGCTAGAATCATGCTAGTCACATGACAATTCATGCTAGAATCATGCTAACAACATGCTAATTCATGTTAGAATCATGCTAACAACATGCTAATTCATGCTAGAATCATGCTAGTAGCATGCTAATTCATGTTAGAATCATGATAACAACATGCTAATTCATGCTGGAGTCATGCTAGTAACATGCTAATTCATGCTAGAATCATGCTAACAACATGCTAATTCATGCTAGAATCAAGCTAGTCACATGATAATTCATGCTAGAATCATGCTAACAACATGCTAATTCATGCTAGAATCATGCTAGTAACATGCTAATTCATGCTAGAATCATGCTAGTAACATACTAATTCATGCTAGAATCATGCTAACAACATGCTAATTCATGCTAGAATCATGCTAGTAACATGCTAATTCATACTAGAATCATGCTAACAACATGCTAATTCATGCTAGAATCGTGCTAATTCATGCTAAAATCATGCTAGTAACATGCTAATTCATGTTAAAATCATGCTAGGTACATGCTAATTCATGCTAGAATCATGCTAGTTACATGCTAATTCATGCTAGAATCATGCTAGTTACATGCTAATTCATGCTAGAACCATGCTAGTCACATGCTAATTCATGCTAGAACCATGCCAGTCACATGCTAATTCATGCTAGAATCATGCTAACAACATGCTAATTCATGCTAGAATCATGCTAGTCAAATGCTAATTCATGCTAGAATCATGCTAGTCAAATGCTAATTCATGCTAGAATCATGCTAACAACATGCTAATTCATGCTAGAATCATGCTAGTAACATGCTAATTCATGCTAGAATCATGCTAGTAACATACTAATTCATGCTAGAATCATGCTAATAACATGCTATATCATGCTAGAATCATGCTAGTAACATGCTAATTCATGCTAGAATCATGCTAACAACATGTTAATTCATGCTAGAATCGTGCTAATTCATGCTAAAATCATGCTAGTAACATGCTAATTCATAGTGGAATCGTTCTAAAAACATGCTAATTCATGCTAGAATCATGCTAACAACATGCTAATTAATGCTAGAATCATGCTAGTAAAATACTAGTTCATGCTAGAATCATGCTAACAACATGCTATTTCACGCTAGAATCATGCTAATAATATGCTAATCTATCTTTCTATCTATCTATCTTTTCATACTTTTTAAAACTGTTTAAACTAAATAAACTATTACCGTCAGGCTTTCACAAGCCAGCCTCAAAGTTTGTTCTCAAACTTTAAGAATCTAGTTCTATATTATTATTCTTCTTCTGAGACTAAAAATTAAACTCTATCTCGTCCTAGGCCTTTCAAGCTATGACCATCAAACTTGGGTCAGACCTCCGAACTATTCTGACTCGAGTTGCTATATCTTTTCCGACTGATCCGACTTTCGGTTTCCCGAAAAACGTCCCGGGACCGTCGGAAAAATCCCATAGACGTAACATTGGATCAAACTTTGCGACCTCATAACTCCGCGTCAGAATGTCACACAGACTTCTAACTAGGCTCATTTAACTCAGACCATCAATCTGCCAATGACTGATCACCTTTAAACTTTCTGGCCACGCCCTAGCAACCACTTTTGGACCCTAGAAACCGTCCCATAGACTTCCATTGCAAAAGACTCTCATTGACTTTACATTGGATCAAACTTTGTGAGCTCATAACTCTGCATCAAACTGTCCTACAGACTAATGGCTGAGCTCATTTAACTCAGTCTAGCCAGCAGCCAATCACCGATGGCCTTTTAACTTTCTAGCCACACCCTAACAACCAGATACTGCACCCTAGCAACTGTCCCATAGACTGCCATTAAAGAGGTTCAGACTGATATTGTCATGCTGCAGTGTGATAGAGACATGGGGGTTGTTTTTAACTGTTCATACTGGCAAGAAGCTTTGATACATCATCAGTCTAAGCTGTCAATCAACTCCATAGCAACAAAACAGACTAACCTAGCAACGATATGACACCAGCTATATCTCAGCATCAGAACATCGTAGAGAGGCGGGGGTTGGCTTGTTTGACTCATGCTCATACACCATCTATCTATCTATCTATCTATCTATCTATCTATCTATCTATCTATCTATCTATCTATCTATCTATCTATCTATCTATCTATCTATCTATCTATCTATCTATCTATCTATCTATCTATCTATCTATCTATCTACATCTTTCTATCTATCTATCTATCTATCTATCTACATCTTTCTATCTATCTATCTATCTATCTATCTATCTATCTATCTATCTATCTGTCTGTCTGTCTGTCTGTCTGTCTGTCTGTCTGTCTGTCTGTCTGTCTGTCTGTCTGTCTGTCTGTATCCATCTATCTATCTATCTATCTATCTATCTATCTATCTATCTATCTATCTATCTATCTATCTATCTATCTATCTACATCTTTCTATCTATCTATCTATCTATCTATCTATCTATCTATCTATCTATCTATCTATCTATCTATCTATCTATCTATCTATCTATCTATCTATCTATCTATCTATCTATCTATCCATCTATCTATCTATCCATCTATCTATCTATCTATCTATCTATCTATCTATCTATCTATCTACATCTTTCTATCTATCTATCTATCTATCTATCTATCTATCTATCTATCTATCTATCTATCTATCTATCTATCTATCTATCTACCTCTTTCTATCTATCTATCTATCTATCTATCTATCTATCTATCTATCTATCTATCTATCTATCTATCTATCTATCTATCTATCTATCTATCATGCTAACAATATGCTAATTCATGCTAGAAACATGCTAGTTACATGCTAATTTATACTAGAATCATGCTAGTAACATGCTAATTCATGCTAGAATCATGCTAACAACATGCTAATTCATGCTAGAATCATGCTAGTAACATGCTAATTCATGCTATAATCATGCTAACAACATGCTAATTCATGCTAGAATCATGCTAGTAACATGCTAATTCATGCTAGCATCGTGCTAACAACATGCTAATTCATGCTAGAATCATGCTAGTAACATGCTAATTCATGCTAGAATCATGCTAACAACATGCTAATTCATGCTAGAATCATGCTAGTAACATGCTAATTCATGCTATAATCATGCTAACAACATGCTAATTCATGCTAGAATCATGCTAGTAACATGCTAATTCATGCTAGAATCATGCTAACAACATGCTAATTCATGCTAGAATCATGCTAACAACATGCTAATTCATGCTAGAATCATGCTAGTGAAATGCTAATTCATGCTAGAATCATGCTAACAACATGCTAATTCATGCTAGAATCATGCTAGTAACATGCTAATTCATGTTAGAATCATGCTAACAACATGCTAATTCATGCTAGAATCATGCTAGTAACATGCTAATTCATGCTAGAAGCATGCTAACAACATGCTAATTTACGCTAGAATCGTGCTAGTTGCATTTTAATTCATGCTAGAATCTTGCTAGTAACATGCTAAATCATGCTAGAATCATGCTAACAACATGCTAATTCATGCTAGAATCATGCTAACAACATGCTAATTCATGCTAGAATTGTGCTAATTCATGCTAAAATCATGCTAGTAACATGCTAATTCATGCTAGAATCATGCTAGTAACATGCTAATTCATGCTAGAATCGTGCTAACAACATGCTAATTCATGTTAAAATCATGCTAACAACATGCTAATTATTGCTAAAATCATGCTAGTAACATGCTAATTCATGCTGAAATCATGCTAACAACATGCTAATTCATGCTAAAATCATGCTAGTAACATGCTAATTCATGCTAGAATCATGCTAACAACATGCTATTTCACGTTAAAATCATGCTAATAACATGCTAATCTATCTATCTATCTATCTATCTATCTATCTATCTATCTATCTATCTATCTATCTATCTTTTCATACTTTTTAAAACTGTTTAAACTAAATAAACTATTACCGTCAGGCTTTCACAAGCCAGCCTCAAAGTTTGTTCTCAAACTTTAAGAATCTAGTTAATTTCTGCTCTTCTTCCCCCCCTGCAACTCTAAAGCCACCTTTCACTGTTCCTTTCTTACAATTTCAAGCATCCAGTCTGGATCAAATCCATGCGTGAAAGGACTGAATGGCATTATAGCCTATATCAGTCATAAAAGCTTTTCTTTGATATCAACTCTTGTGAAGCTATGTCGAATTTGGCCAAGGACAAGGTCAGCGTTAAACCCAATTGGAAAAAATGTTCATTGTTAAGATCTCAATGGTGCTCATTTCCATTGAGCATGCACTATGAATTGAGGAAATGCTTAATATAAGAGCGCTTTCCTGCTGTATCATCCCCAGGTGGTTTTTATTTTGGCCAATCATGCGTTGTAGAGTCATCTGTAGAGTCAGTAGTATGGTATTTATTTCTATCAGGCTTGTGGCGTCTCTCTTAGGAAGGCTTTGGAAGCGCTTCAGACTAATTACTTCAGGTCAGAGGTTGTCGGATTAATGGGCAATAAATGACATGATGTGTCGCACTGTGGTTTTCCTACAGAGGGAGATGAAGGAGCAGCTGGCGACTCTACAGGACAGTGAGAAGGGTCATACGGAGGCTTTACAGCTACTGCAGAGGCAGCTCACTGAAACCAAGGTAAACTTCTGCAGTTTATCGTGTTGTCCTGCCTGTTATTCAGGACTGCACAATGCATTTCAATTCAACACCGACATCACTATGTGTGGGTCTGCAAATGTGGAGCCTGTAGAGTGCAAAGTGTAACCATAATGGAGTAGAAGTTTGTCATTTGCATGTGTTCTTAAAGGGATAGTTCACCTAAAAATGAAAAATCTTCAATAGGTGAACAGTATTTTTCAAAATATCTTTTTTTTTTGTGTTCAGCAGAAGATACTAGGACCGCACAATATATTGCTTCAGCATGGATATCACAATGTACACATCTACAACAGTCACTTTACATGAAACTTGTAGCTTATTATATTTAATGCAGATGTAATCATGCAAATCAATCTAATTTAATCAGTTATTTAAATTCAAATAGAAATATTCAATTCATCTTGTGAAATTTTATTCATGTTGCAATATATACAGTATCGCAGAAAAAACAAAATGTCGCAACAATGTCAGATTTAGCCTAACATTTGCAGCCCTAGAATAAAGTCATAAAAGTTTCATTAAGAATAAACGATGAGTTTCATATATATTTTGTACTTTCTCCAGATATATATATATCATATATATCAGATATACTGTAAAAATTTCCTTGCTCTGTTAAACATTATTTGGGGAAAAAATAAATAAATAAATAAAAGATATAATATATATATACACACAGTTGAAGTCAGAATTATTTGCCCCTCTTTTATTTTATTTTTTTTTCTCGAATAATGTTTTACAGAGCAAGGAAATTTTTACAGTATATCTGATATATATGATATATATATATATATATATATATATATATGGAGAAAGTCTGATTTGTTTTATTTTGACTAGAATAAAAGCAGTTATGAAGTTTTTAAAAGCCATTTTAAGGTCAAGATTATTAGCCCTTTTAAGCTATATATTTTTTGATAGTCTACAGAACAAACCATCGTTATACAATAACTTGCCTAATTACCCTAACCTGCCTAGTTCACCTAATTAACCTAGTTAAGCCTTTAAATTTAAGCTGTGTAGAAGTGTCTTGAAAAATATCTAGTAAAATATTAATTACTGTCATCATAACAAAAATAAAATAAATCAGTCATTAGAGATGAGTTATTAAAACTATTATGTTTAGAAATGGGTGGAAAAAAACTTCTCTCCATTAAACAGAAATTAGGGGAAAAAATTAACAAGGGAGCTAATAATTCAGGGGTCTAATAATTCTGACTTGAACTGCATGGTTTCCGCTAAATTTATTTTTCCATGGCGGGGCTTTATGCCAAAATTGTTCCCAGCGAGGCTACATCACAGCTTTTAATTCAAAACATTCAGTCGTGTTTTGTTTTTTTTAAATAGCAGGTTATAATCGCACCAAAACTTATTAAAGGGTAAGTGAACTATAACAGCTCAAACTTTTCTGTAACTGTAGTAGTGCTGTGCGTCATTTGTTTAACCCTTTAAGGTTACGTACTGACTGACTGACGGACTGACTGACAGGTGCGTGAGGCCAGCAAACACGACGTATAGTCGTTTCACTTCACTTCAGGACGCAATAATGCCGCTCTGTAGGTCTATTGGAGACATTCATAAATATTCCTAGCAAATCTAATAAATGTTGGAGACATACTTGTTACATAAACACTAAATTGCAGTTCAGCAGTGTATATTTTAAAGCGCACAAGAAGATCTGCGCTAGAGCAGCGTATATTGAGCGAAGTTTTGTGCACAAGCAGAGGAAATTGGCGCGCAAGCAAATAGATTCGCAATTAAAACATCATGGAGTAGTCCAGCAAATAAACTACCTTGCGACGCAATAAATCCTGTTAAAAGTCGCATAAAGATTAAATATCATTTTGCGCGTGTTGATTAGTGTCATTAAGCTTCGGTGGGCGTTGATGACAAAGTTCCTTACACATGCCACTACCGAGTGGCACATGGCAGTGAAAACTGGACATGCCACCGGAAATGTCACTACAATCAGTGGCCTGTGCCAATGGCGTCTGTAGGTCAGATGTCGAGTTAGTTGCTGCGCAGCTGTCAGTAAAGCACCGCACACACACATACATTAACACACACACACAGAATATAGCAAAATGCTGATTTTTTTTTCTTTTCATTTGGCGTGCGTTATTAAATTTCATAACACTCTCACCAGTCATTAATATTTATTTGCGTTCAATACCCCAGCTTGTCACGGGGGCATGAATAAAATGTTCATAAGTTAAAGTGAAACTGCCGAACTGCACTTAAAGTCAGGCATCCTGCTGATTTGATTCAGAATGGCTCTTTTTTTGTCAGGTGGCTCACCGGTCAGGTATACATCCACACTAAAATATCAAGGTAAAAGTCATCATAGCTTGCGTAGAATAGACCTAGCTCCTAACACAACTTTGAGAATAGATTAACAGTGATTTTTTAATTTTTTTATTTATTCATTTATTATTTTTTTATTTTATTTATTTATTTATTTTTTTATTGCGTAATAAGAGTCTCGCATTAACGCAGCACATTAACGTCGATAACGGCCCACCACTAATAAATATATACACTGGATTTGAAATTACATGAACAAGACTTTCTTTAACTACAGCTTTAATTTGAGCATTTGCTGTAGAAGCCTGGCAGAGCACCACCAGGAAATAAAACCCAGTATCTAGTGATGTATATGTGGTCTAGACTTCAGGCTGTAATTGACTGTAAAGGATTTGCAACCAAGTATTAAGTGAAATTTTGATTTATTTGATTTATTATTCTGTCCAATCACTTTTGGACCCTTAACAAGTGGGAGGCACATATGCAAACTGTTGTAATTCCCACAGCGTTCAGCTGATTTGGATGTAATCCATCATTACAAATCCTTTGTGTTGGTGTATATATATTACAGAAATACAAAGAAATCACAGTGTCTGTTTATTCCAATAATGTGCAGCCGTACTCTGAACAGAGTATATTTAGTTCCATGAAACTGTTTTCCAAGGGACTTTTATTAAAGCAGTGACCCAAGAGATTTAACCATTGAAATGAATGCTATTTACTGCTTAAATGATATCTTAAATAATTTTCCACTCCTTTGTAATCAGATTCATATTATGATATTTAAATGTAAATGTTCATTGCTAAATGTTTTAAAGGGGCAGTTCACTCAAAATTGAAAATGGCTCAATCATTCATTCCCTCATGTTGATTTAAACCTTTATGAGCTTCTTTCTGCTGTTGAACACAAAAGAAGATATTTTGAAAAATGCTGGTTGCTGGCACCTATTGATTTGCATAGTAGGAAAAAAAAAGTTACTTTGGAAGTCAGCGAGTACCATCAACCAGCATTTTTCAATGATCAAATCAGCAAATTCAATTATCTGCTTTCATGTTCAACACAGAAACTCAAATAGGTTTTCAACAATATAGGGTTAATGACGATAGAATTTTAATATTTTGGTGAACCGTCCTTTCTGATGGACTAACACACATTCAACACGCTGCTCAATTCAAATAACTGCAGTTTAACATTGAAACCACGTCTGCATTTCACCTCTGATGGGACTCCATTAAGCCACATCTGGTTGTGTGGAAATCGAAACGCAGCTGACAAACAGCTCCTACTGCCCACCACAACCATTACAGATTCACAGCAGGTCTCTCGCCCAGTCCCTTGCTCATTTTTTCCACTCTCTCTCTCTCTCTCTCTCTCTCTCTCTATTATGTTGACATTGAGTTTCCAACAAGCAAATTGGTTTATTGAGCAGGTCCTTAATCATGACGCCTTGTTTTAATCAGTGGAGAGAGACACCACAGTCAATACTGCAACATTGTCTGTCACTTTGCCTTTCTCTCTCTTTTTTTTAATCATCTCTGTGTTTGGGATTGAGGACTATTGCGGAGGAAGAGCTTCCTGACATTGCTGACCTCTGGCGTCGGTCTTATTTGTCTTCAGTTAGTCTTCAGAGTATATTTTTACAACACTGCGCACAGCTCCACTGGTGTGTGATTGTGGATGTGTTGTTTTGGAGATAATTTAGACATGTAATATATCTATGATTAGATGTAATATATCTATGATGATATGGGTTTAAGCATAATGTGAAAGTCTCCCCAATTTAAATAAAAAATATTGTAATTTAGAGCATTTTTCTTCAAAAGATTACAATTTGTCAGAAAAAAATTCTGAAGTTTAAAACATCTATGTTGTATTGTCTTGGAAATAAATTGAAACATCTGAATAACTGGTGTCTTCTGTGTTGATTAATGCCAAAAAGACCCTAAATTACAACATTATTATATTATATTATTTTAATTTGTGAGAAACAATTTATTTGTAGTTTGCAAAATAAACTAAAAACTATGATTAACTCAAACACATAACTTAATCATAAATTCAGAGACCCCCCCCCCCCCATATTTAAGTGTTATCTATCTAGTATATATATATATATATATATATATATATATATATATATATATATATATATCACTGAGCAACGTATGTAAAACAATGTGAAGACTTGTGACACTTGATTGACAGAATCGTAGAAATGAAGGATTAGGATCGTCTAGGGCACAGGTGTCAAACTCGGTACCAAAACCGCCGCAGCTCTGCACAGTTTAGTTCCAACCCTAATTAAACACACCTGATCAAACTAATTGAGTCCTTCAGGCTTGTTTGAAACCTACAGGTAAGTGTGTTGGAGCAGGGTTGGAACTAAACTGTGCAGGGCTTCGGCCCTCCAGGAATTGAGTTTGACACCCCTGGTCTAGGGGGTCGAATCGAGATTGTGACCTTATTTCGATTAATTGTTTAGCTCCAATATCTATATCTATCTATCTATCTATCTATCTATCTATCTATCTATCTATCTATCTATCTATCTATCTATCTATCTATCTATCTATCTATCTATCTATCTATCTATCTATCTATCTATCTATCTGTCTGTGTGTCTGTCTGTCTGTCTGTCTGTCTGTCTGTCTGTCTGTCTGTCTGTCTGTCTATC